GATGGATGGATGGATGGATGGATGGATGGATGGATGGATGGATGGATGGATTGATGGATGGATGGATGGATGGATGGATGGATGGATGGATGGATGGATGGATGGATGGATGGATGGATGGATGGATAACTGATGCCGAGAAGCATATAAAATAATCTTCAGCCTTAAGGAACAAACTTATCCCCAAAAATAGAAATATGTCTTCAAACTCTCTCACCGTTTTAAATGCGAAACGTTTGATGTGCAGGAAACAGGTTTGTCCAGAATCACCGGAAGTGCTTTTTAAAAGGACAAGCAACAAAAAATTGTTGTCTTGGGTAAATTTTATTTCTTAAGCTTTGAATTGAAAAAAATAATAATAAACGTCTAGGTGAGACTGTTATCTTAAAAATAGCAGAACGGTTTGTGACGTCTTCTATTGAAAAAACAAAATTTAAATCCTTGACATTAACTTCGCTTTTCTCCGTGTACTTCTTTCTGCCTGGGTGGCAAACATCTTCGGACGGCCAATTGACCCACTTCCCGTCAACCTATCCAGCCTGCTTCTATCAAACTATCCACCCCAGCCCCCCACCCACCCCAAAACCCAAAAATATCAGTTTTTCCTGTTTTTAAAGTGAGAGATGAAGGAAATATGAGGACACTGATTTCACGAAATGCTAGTCCCTTTAACTGATTAAATGTGATTTAACCCCCCCCCAGAAGGAAATATGAGGACACTTATTTCACGAAATGCTAATCCCTTTAACTGATTAAATGTGATTTAACCCCCCCCCCCAACCCCCAAATACTAATTAAAAGAAATTATCAAGTGCGTTTGGTGTGTCGTATTTTCTATTGGTTTTCTGAAATAGTTGGTAAAATAATCTGCGGTTTAAAGTCATACAAAAAGCTTTGTTTTTTATGGGATGTTTCATTGTTTGTTTGTTTGTACGTTTTCTTAATTATGATTATGTGTGCGATGAGCGTTCAAAGTATTCACACGAAGTAATACAATGGAGACAGCTTGAATGATTGGGGAGAAAGGTGAGATATTAAGGGAGTGGGTAAAGGACAAGGGGGTAGGGGAGGGGGTGCAGATCCATTGCGACGGCCCTGAACCACATCGGCTGCAGGGGGCATAAAACCAAACGGTGGTATGGGGAAAATAAAAGTCATGCCACGGTCCTGGGTCAATGGGTGTAGGTAATAGGGGATGTGTGCACATGAGGTGCGTACATGAGGTGTGTACATGAGGTGTGTACATGAGGTGTGTACATGAGGTGTGTACATGAGGTGTGTACATGAAGTGTGTACATGAGGTGTGTACATGAGGTGTGTACATGAGGTGTGTACATGAGGTGTGTACATTTTGAATTGAAGTGGTATATGAGTGGAAGATGTGACAATTTAAAGGATATTGTCCAGGACCTGTCTTCTCAGGAGAAAGAGAGGAGCAAGTATAGTCAGAGGGCGTTTTACCTGTCTTCTCAGGGGAAAGAGAGGAGCAAGTATAGTCAGAAAAAGGGGGGGGGTAGAGATGTTTGTTCAGGGCATGGACGAGTTTGAGGATGACGGATTTGTGAGTGGCCAACTGGTCTACACAGAGTCAATCACAAGCTGGTGGACTGGAGGTATGTCCCCAGCAAACGTCTAGACAAGCGAAAACACCACCACACCCCGGGTGGATGGGACTCCTTAACTTTGTATGGCACATCATCTCAAGCAAACTCTGAAAACAAACCCGGAGAAGGAGTCTTGTGGGCGGTATGACATTGACACAATGAAACTCCCGACAACTCCTACAACAACTCCTGCATATAGAACACGGTGATACACGATACAAACTGCTTGTGATCTTCTGCATCCTTGTCTATTTCCAGTCGTCTAGACTAGCTTTTGCCATTGGAACAAATAGGCAAGGACGAGAGAGCGATGCTGACGAATTGGGCAACTCTCCCTCACTTCGTACACAATACAGCTTCGCATGCGAAGGTCGACCTAGCTGACATATAATGTATCATATGTAATATATATATATATATATATATATATATATATAATATATAATACACATATATATATATATATATATATATATATATATAATATATATTATACATATATATATATATATATATATATATATATATATATATATATAAACGAGAAAATGGGTTTGTTTGTGGATTTGTTTGTCGTATGTTTTTTTTGTACCACATACGTTTCGACATGCATGGATTTGTCTTGAACAAACTTGGCACATATATCCTTAATTATCCGGAAGAAACTCTTTTTGGGGTTTATGAACCTTTTTTTTTTTACTACATTCCATTTTGGGCCGGGGGTCCTGAATTCGTTCCCTCCATTATTTATCTGAATTATTTATACAGGGCCCCACATCTCAGGCACAACAACATAGTGAACTTATGGTACGTGGGGGCTTGGGATGCCATAGGATCGGGATCCGCATCTCAAAATGGGATCACAACAGGGAAGTGATCCAAGGGGGATCGACATCGGAACAGGAAATAGGATCATTGTGCCATCTTATTTTATAAATG